TAAGTGTCCATGATTCCGTTTGCTCATTGCTGGGTGTTAAAGCTGGAAACTGTGTGCATGTGTGCGTGTCTCGCCTCTTTAGCTCAACAGCTCCAGATATGTAACAGGCACCTTCCCCTTCTGGTTTCCTCGCTCTCCAATCAGCCAATCAGAGTCCATTCCAGGCACTGTGTACACGGTGATGAGCTGACCGTCCAATCAGATAAGTGTAATTAATTAATTTGGAGTCTTTAGGATGCTTTTCAAGAAAACACATATAGCAAACATTCTAAATATTCAAACGAAATGGCTTAAAAACAATCATCAGTTCAACCTAACTTTCACTGTAGCCAAATATATTCAAAATGTTTCATCCAAGAACCAAAACGCATTAAAAATCTAGTTTGTGAATGTTTTCGTCACTGTTCGCCACTATATTTACAATGTTTAATTACACATTGCTAGCAAAATCATTGTCAATATACTTGAATATTCAAGGTATCACCCGATTTTACTGAAGAGAAATTTTAACTAGCCAAAGTCAACTATAATTCTTTAAACCATCATGAAAAACCATTCACAATTCATTTAATTTTAACATTAAAATTACATATGATGAACATTAAAATCAATGTGGTATTTTCAAGTGAAACAGAATATTCAGTGAGAAATAATTCATGGCGGTACTTCATTTTATTCATAACTTGAACGGATCAAGAAAAGTTGGCTATGATCAAGTAAATAGATGCTTATTATTGGAAAAAGGTGAAATATTCAACAATATTCAAATGAAATGGTTTAAAAAAAACTATCAATTCAACTAAACTGTCACTACAGCCAAATATATTTTAAAACATTTAATGCAAAACGCATTAAAATCACATTTAAAAATACCATGGTATGTTTTCTTCATTATTTTTCACTATTTTCACAATAATTCATTTTTAATTGCCAGCAAAATTGTTGTAAATATGCTTGAATATTCAAAACATCACCCATTTTTACTAAAAAATTTATAAAATAAATAAAATAAACTAGCCTAAATCAACTTATTATCCATTAAATCGTCATGAAAAACTCATTAAAATGTGACATTAAATGTGACATGATAAACATTAATTGTAATTAGAATTAATGTGTCATTTTCAAGTGAAACAGAATATTAGGTAAGAATTAATGACTGGGCTTAACTTTATCCATCACAATTTGATTGGATCAAAAAAAAGGCCTAAAATTAAGTAAATAATGTTTTTATAGCAAATATTTTAAATATTCAGAAAAAAATGTCCAAAACGAATCTCTTCAACCAAACTGCCACTGTAGCCAAATATATAAAAAACGTTTAATGCAAGAACCAAAACACATTAAAATATCATGGTATGTTTTCCTTAATGTTCCTTACTATTTTCACAATGTTTAATTTCACATTACCAGCAAACTCATTGTAAATATAATTGAATATTCAATATATCACCCATTTCTACTCTAAAAAGTAAATAAATAAACTACCCAATATCAACGTATAATGCATTAAATAATCATGATAAAAACCTTTCACAATTCCTTTCATTTTAACATAAATGTGACATATAATAAACAATCATTTTAATTATTGTGGAGTTTTCAAGAGAAACAGAATATTCCATAAGAAATCATTTAGGATGGGGACTTAATTTTATCCATCACAATTTGATTGGATCATGAAATGTAGGCTCGGATATTATGCAATAATATATTTCACAGCCCCTAACACCCCCTATTAGACCCATATCAGACCGTTTATCTTTCATCAAACATCTGCTCACCTCATCGGCCCACAACGAGAGCTCACTGGAGTCTGCAGCGTCATAGTCATACAGCACTTTGGCCTTGCGTGTGCCGCTGGCTGGCGGCTGAACTTCTTCAATCTGCAGAGCGTCTGTTTCCAGAGGAGACGCAGAGTTCAGCGGCAGGAAGGCAGACGGGTCCGTGGGGCTTCTGGCGGGATGGGAATTCACATCCAAAGAGTCGGGGCATCTTCTGAAAGAGAGAAGATTGATATAGAGGTTTATATACACTATAAGGGCTCTGCTGACTAGTGTGAACACTAACAAGACGACAAACTCGGTGAAAAAGTGGTCTGGTCTGAATCAGGAGAGAAATCTGCACAGATCAAGCACCATTTACAAGCCAAAACAGCTCTAAACAAATATGTGGCTGGATTTTGAGTTAAAATATGGTTTTAATATAGTTAAAAATGTCTTCATGATGCATTTGTGTCTTACAAACAAGCAGCTTTTGGCTTCTCCAGATGTTAACTGATGGACTGGAGTGCTGTGGATTACTTGTGATGCGTTTATCAGCTGTTTGGACTCTCATTCTGACGGCACCCATTCACTGCAGAGGATTCATTGCTCAGCAAGTAAATTTCTCATCAAATTGTCATTTTTGGGAAAACTATTCCTTTATGGTGCACAAAGTCATATTTTCCACTGTAAAGTTTTCCTCTAAAAGAAATCTTTAATTTAATAGTTAACACTTTACAATAAGGTTCTATTTGTTAACATCATTTAACTCTATTAGTTAACATGAACTAATAAAGAATAATACTTTTACAGAACATCATTTATTAATTCTAGTTTGTTCATTTCAACATTTACTTAATACATTTTTCAAATCACAAGCTGTATCTATAAACATTAGGTAATGCACTGTAAACTAACATGAATGAACAACCACTTTTATTGACAAAGATGAATAAATGTAAGAAATTTGAAGTTTATTTGCAAAAACAGATAACTATTCATATATTGCTCATGTTAGCTAATGCATTGACTATGAGACCTTACTGTAAAGTGTTACCATTTAATGTTATATTTTTATTTTGGAAAAATGATTCAGTGAGCCAAATAGTATTTTGCACACATATGAATGAAATCTGATGCATAGCCACCTGCCCAGCTCGCTCTGCAGCTCCAGCATGTACTTGTGACACTGACTGTAATACATCGCCTGCGCTTCCACAAACTCACACAGGCAGCGCAGGTGATTCACCTGCGCAGACAGAAAAGTCATCCTGTCACTTTAAAACCCATAGCATTCTGTGCAAACACAGGTTGCACTTCATTTGTTTGCATGAGGATACTAGATATTTACGCAGTTTTTGAACAAAGATTTAATGTTTTGAAATGCTATTCTCTGAACTTCAAAGCATGCATATTGAAGGATTATTATGAAAGCCTTTAAGCCCATCCTGATAATGAGGTTTATCAGCTTGAAGTGGCTTGTATTCAAACATACGCTTCTGCTCAGGTGTGTAGCGGGTTAATGCAGCATGCATGTAAAAATGACTCACGTGTGTGTTGCTGATGCCCTCCAGGAGGAGTCTGGTGACCTCAGCCTGTCCGTCAAACTCTGTCTGAGTAACACGCAATTCATGCTCCGCCTGCATATGACAGAGAAAACTAATTCAAAATTGACACCGGCATAAAAATCATCTGCATTTAGAGTTGCATGAACACTAGGACTCTCTTAAAGGGGTCATATGATGTTGCTAAAAAGAACATTATTTTGTGTATTTGGTGTAATGAAATGTGTTAATGCGGTTTAAACCCATTCTGTACATTATAGTTTCTCCTCTATGCCCCGCCTTTCTGAAACACGTCGATTTTTACAAAGATCATCGGTCTGAAAAGCGAGGTGTGCTCTGATTGGCCAGCTATCTAGTGCGTTGTGATTGGCCGAATACCTCAAGCGTGTGACGGAAATGTTACGCCCCTACCATATTGTGATACCGTGTCCTGGCCGGAGCGATGAGACAAAAACATTAAAACCCATTATAACCGAGGCATTTGTTGCATCCAGTGGGGACATAATTACGGATTGCGTTGCATCACTCCACGTAAACATAAAACCATGTCTGCATTTGTGATTGGAGAAATGACAAACAACAAGCGCTACTCTACACTGCTCAAAACTCGCGTTTGAATCGTCAGTGGCAAATTCTTACAGTCTGTGAGTCAGAACAGCCGGCATTGTAGTCTACTCT